AAAATTTTTATTTTTACTTTTCCAAGTTTGCTCTAATGGGACTCCCAAAATTTCATCCAAAAATGTTTTGTAGAAAAGAAATAAAAAATAAAACATTGTTTGATATTGCTGGATTTAGTGCTATCTAAAATCACCCACATAAGGAAATCCCATATTATATAGGATTGAGATATTCTCATATTATGTGGGATTGAGATATTCTCATATTATGTGAGATTGAGATATTTTTTTATTGCATGATATTGATATTGATATTTGATAAGTTTCTTAAAAGAAATAGAAATCGAAAAGGGATTAGGACTATTAGATATACCTCTTAGTCTTTTGAGATATATGTAATATTAATAGACGTTTTATATTTAGTATGGATTCCTATCCTTATATATATGGGATGAAAGCATAAAAAATTTGTGTACCTTATTTGGGTCACCATATGAGAATGGTAGTTCCTCTAGAGAGAGAGGGAGACAAAGCCTCATGTGCATATGATGCAATTTTCTCTTAGAGCAGAGAGCTTCCTATGAAGAGAAACGTTGATGGTGCCCCTTGAAGACTACTATAGAGTGAGAGGTTGGTTTATTGTAAAGAAGCGGTTCTCCACGGTTTGTTTTTTGTAGAGAAGCGGTTCTCTTGGAGATTTTGAATTGTTTCTCCTTTTAATGAGATAAAATCTCGTTTTCTCTTAAAGTTGTTCCCTTGAGATGAAGTCTTGTTTTATCTCAAAGTTATTCGCTTCCTAAACAGCGGTTTAGTTATGGAATAGAGATGAAAGATCAACATGGTGCTGTTATGGAATAGAGATGAGAGATCAGCATGGTGCCATTATGGAATGGAGATGAGAGATTTTGCATGGTGTCATTTGGGAGAGTATGTTTAAAATGGTGTCATTTGGGAGAGTAGGTTTAAAGGGTTTGCTCGAGTATTTTTTTGTCGAGGTTTGTTCCAAAATCTTTAATGCAACTTTCATTGGTATAGTGGATTTCTGTTTGCCGTGCCCGTGGATGTGTCCTACTAGGGTGAACCACATAAATCTTTATGTTTTTCTGATATGTGTTTCAAGCTTTATTTCTTATACGTTATTTACCAAAAAATCAACCCATTGGGTTTAGAGCTTCAGCGTACAACAAGTGGCATCAAAGCCCGGGTTTGGGATTGTCGGTATGGCGATAAAGATTTCGAATGCAAAGTTCGAGGTACATAAATTTGATGGCAAACACTATTTTTCAATAAGAATAAAGAATAAATTTATGTGGTAAAAGATGAAGAATTTATGACGCTATCTAATAGATGTTAGCATGGTAAGCAGGTGATTTTGATATCAAGGTGGTGATTGTTGGATTTAATGCTATCCAAAATCACCCACATAAGAAAAACCCATATTATATGGGATTAAAATATTCTCATATTATATGGGATTGGGATATTTCTTTATTATGTGATATTGATATTGATATTTGATATATTTACTAAAAGAAATAGAAATCAGAAGGGATTAGGACTCTTGGATAAATCTCTTGGTCTTTTAAGATATATGTAACATCAATAAAAAGTTTCATATTTAGTATGGATTCCAAACTTTATATATATGGGATGAAAGTACAGAGAATTTGTGTGTCCTATTTGGGTCACCATATGGGAATGATGGTTTTTTTAAAGAGATAGGGAGGCAGAACCTCTTGTGCACAAGATCCAATTTCCTTTTAGAGAATAGAGCTTCTTATGAAGAGAAACATTGATGGTGCTTCCTAAAGACACCTATAGAGTGAGAAGTTGATTTCTTATAGAGAAGCAGTTCTCATGGAGATTTTCAGTTGGTTCCCGTTATAGTGAGATAAAGTATCATTTGCTCTCAAAGTTGTTCCCTTCCTAAACAATGGTTTATTTATAAAATAGAGTGGTTTAGTAATGGAATAGAGATATAAGAAGTGGGATTACATATAATTTATATGTTGTTGGGGTCACGTACAAACATTTTCTTTTACGGAATGATATGCAACTCATGTTCCCTTTTTAACATAAAGAGATCATTCACTACTTATTTAATGCCCTACAACAAATTGAGAAGTTTTATTTGTATTTTGGAAGCTATTATCCTTAATTTTACTAGTACTTTGTCCTCAAGTTTCAACACAATTAAAAAGAGAAATTTTTGAAACTATTCAAGCATAATCTTCCTTGTTCAATTTAAAGAGAAGAATCATGGAAAAGAATAAGAGAGAGAGAGAGCACATTATGGACCGAAGAAGCAGCATAGGGGAGAAAAGTGAAGGGATTGTTTTTGAGAGAGCGAGAAAGAGGTGCATAAAGATGATATGTTTTATATGGATAGGGAGAAAAGAGACGTGCAAGAAAAACCAAGAATCGATGCAAAGTATAGACAAGTAGAGTAGAGAGAGGATAGAGAAGGAAGGAGAGAGAAAGGAAATTACCAGAGAGTAAGGACATGAGACAAAAAGCAACAGAAGCAAAGAAACGTTGAGAGACAGTATAAGAGATAAAGTGATACATATAAGGTGAGAGGAAGTATCATAGAGATAAATAAAAAGATGTGAGAGAGAGAATGTGAAGAGAGAGAAAGTACCATAGAGGATGATGAGATAAAGTGAAATACATATCATGTCAGAGGAAGTATCATAGAGATAAATAAAAAGATGAGAGAGAGAAAGAAAATGTGAAGAGAGAGAAAGTACCATAGAAGATGATGAGAGAGAAAAAAAAATGTGAAGAGAGAGAAAGTACCATAGAGGATGATGAGAGAAAAGGAATTAAAGCTTTTTAGCCATAATAGCAGAATCGTGCTTTGTTTTGTTAACTCTTTAACACCTTTTGCGACTTTATAACTATTTCATCTAGGGTCCTCTTCTCTAGACCCTGCTCTGTTTCAAAAACTTCATCCTGTGAAGATTGTGAAGCAAATGGCATGAACCCAAATTGGACGTCACTAAAACTAGTAAAAAAATTACATTGTTTAACTTCAATGTTATCTCTAGTACCCTTTCTAGAGACTTGAAAAATGGCTCCAGAAAAAAGAGGGCGACTCAATATCCACTATATTAGAGAAGGGTGTGCGTTCTATAAGGTTGCAACCTTAAACAATCCAATTACGGCACACCTCCAAATTTTATCATGACATGTAATTTTAGTGTAAAAAATTCTTAGGAGTTAGGATTATCTAAAATATTGTTCTCATATTCGATTATAAAATTGTAAACTCCAAAAATGGTTAAAATCAAGTAGATTTATAAACATATGAAAATATTGAAAATGGACGTTCTAGATAATGTATTGCTTCTAGGACTAAAAATCTTTATTTTTTTTCGTATTCATACATCTCAATGTCGAGATGATCAATTAGAGGGTTTTTCAACATTAAAACAACCTTTCCCTATTGATTTTTTAGGTGCATCTTTAACTCTACATTTTAAGGTTGCAACCTTATACAAACTTTTTCCATTAGCGGAAGGATGAAGTTTGTATAGGGTCTAGGCTTTATGAAAATAAAATAAAGACTCACCTCAAATCCTCATCCTCAAAGCACTTTCTGTATCGAAAATCTCCACGATAGTTCTAAAATCAATTTTTAATACCGAAGGTAAAAATTTAAATCTTTAAAATGGTACAAGACTTGTGGAGATGGTCTAGATGATTTGTTACAATATGCACTATTTTTAGAATTTAAAATCCTAATATTTTGTCACAACTATAATGTTCAATGTGAGATTATCGATTAAATGTTTTCTAATACTTGAATTACAACTTTAGACTATTTATAAAGTGAGGATCTTTATTTTGGTAGGGATGCAGCCCTATTAAACCATTTTCCTTAAGGAAAAGTGAGCTCTATATAAATTATGGAGCTTTCAAGTACAAACATTCCTTAAAACCCTAAGAACCATTGAACAAACGCTTTACCTTTTCCCAAAGCAATGGTTTGGTCTTCTTCTCAGTTGATCTTTGCAGGAGATGCCATCCTCCACCAGCACTCGGATCCGTGAACATTTATTTTTAGCGTGAAAAGGGTGGCCTAGATAATTGGTTATAATATATATCATTTTCAAGGTTTCAAGTCCAAATTTTTTTTCAGCCAGAATTTTCAAGGCCAAGATGATCGATTTGAAGGTGTTCCGACACAAGAATTTAAAACTTTACTTATTTGAAGGGTTGGTGCCCTCTCAAAGTATTTTTCTTTAAAAATTTAATTAACTTGTTTATATGCACTAAGTATCAAATACGTTCTTAGCGAGGACATAAATCTCAATATCTTTTCTCATTATTTCCCTTCTTATCCTTTTTGGCCTACCCCAGGCCCTTTTGAGTCTTCAACTTGAATTAACTTGTATCTCCTAATAAATACTATGTACTGTACCACGCATTAATTAGTTATTATCCTCAATTATAAGGATGATAACTAATAAATGAAACTTAATACAATATAATTATAAAATAATTACGCTATTTGCTTCTTTATTCCACAATATTGAACGTTGCAAAATAATTTGTATTTAGAGTTGGGAGCTTTATCATATCAAAGTTAAAATGTCAACAATTGAAACCTTTAGATCAATTATTTCGGCCTTGACCGCGATGGTTGGAAAAAATAAATGAAGATTTCAAGTCTAAAAATAATGTATATCATATCGTTATCTAGCCCTTGTATTTTGCCCTAAAAATAAATTTGCACTAATTTACAAGATTTGTGCTGCTTTTGAAGAATTACTTGGTGTGTCCAAGGCTTCACCAGCTACTATGCGGGCTTGGAGATCTACACCATTCACGACAGCACGCGTAGATCTACACCATAAATAATAGTATTTCAAAGAAAATGTATAATCAATTGTTCAAATATTTTCTCCGAAACATATCATTTCTACTTTTTAAAATTTATTTATTTAGGATCATTACTCTTAGTAATGCACAAGTTAAAGATTAAATATTCCCTAAAATTTAATATTAAATTCCATTTACTCTCCGTCCTTGTACTGAGCAGCACCATGTGACCCACCTCTGTCGCTCTCTCTAAAATGGATCCATTGCTCCCCCTTTCTCGTGAAAATCTAAAGACCCAAAACAGAGAATGAATCGATAGGATCAAACTCCATTACATCTCTCTCTCTCCTCTCCTCTCCTCTCCTCTCCTCTCTTCTCTTCTCTCTTCTCTCTCTCTTCTCGACTGTTTTTCCTTGTGATGATTAATCTTCTGGGATGAAGTGCGAGTCTGGAGAATTGACCCATCCCTACCCAGGCTTGCAAAGGCATGGCCACGCTCACTGTTTCCTGGAACTCCTTGTCACCAACCTCTCTGTATTCTCTCTCTTCAAAAACTCTGCTATTTTCTCTCTCTTCAAATGCTCAGCACTGCTTCTTCCTATGTTGTTCAGAGAAGAAGAGATTCAGATCCAATTCGAGCGAAGAGAGAGATAGAGAGGCGCATTCAATGTTGCTGCCAAATGAAAACGGATGGTGGGTTGGAAGAGGCGCTCTCTCTCTTTGAAGGTATGCTCAAATCCTCACACAAACCTTCTCTCTCAACTTGCAATCTATTGTTGGGGTCCTTCGAGAGACCGGACCAGGCTTCCTCTCTGTATAAAACCATGGTGACAGCTGGAATTTCACCTGATATTCAAATCTTGCATACATTGTTGAGGTATTTTTGCCAATTCCAGATGACCCATTTTGCGTTTGGGGTTATTGGTCTCACTCAGAAGCTTGGTTACCCTCTCTCTGTCTTCCTCTTGAATATGGTAATGGGAGGACTTTGCAAGGAGGGGCGAGTGGGGAGGGCTATGGAGCACTTCGATGGTATGGAAAACCACAAGCTTTCAATCAATGTCTTTACATTTACCACTCTGATCAATGGGCTCTGCAAAGCCCATAAGGTGGAAGAGGCCATGGCTATACTCAAAGCGGTGGGGAAGAAAGGATGTCAACCAAATGTCGTGACGTATACAGTACTCATGGATGGTCTTTGCAAAGGGGGAAGGACAGAAGAGGCAATGCCTTTGTTAGAGGAGATGTATAGCAATGGCTTGAAGCCGGATGTCTTTACATTTAACACTTTGATCAATGGGCTCTGCAAAGCTGATAAGGTGGAAGAAGCCCTGGTTTTGCACAAAGAAATGGAGAAGAGAGGGTGTCAACCAAATGTCGTCACGTATAACACACTCATTGATGGCATTTGCAAGGGTGGGATAGCAGAGGAAGCAATGTCTTTGTTGGAGGAGATGCATCACAGTGGCTTGACCCCAAATGTGTTCACTTACAACACTCTTATGAATTTTTTGTGCAAAAGAAATAAGGTGGAAGAAGCCCTGGCTTTGCACAAAGAAATGGCGAAGATAGGGAGTCAACCAAATGTTGTCACATATACTACTCTGATAGATGGTCTTTGCAAGGACGGGAGAACAAAAGAGACAATGGCATTGTTAGAAGAGATGCACCACAATGGCCTAAACCCAAATGTTGTCACATATAGCACTCTTATAAGTGCGCTATGTAAAAAAAATCAAGTGGAAGAAGCCTTGGCTTTGCACAAAGAAATGAAGAATAATGGCTGTCAACCAAATATTGTAACATATAATGCACTCATCGATGGTCTTTGCAAGGATGGGAGAACAAAAGAGACAATGGCATTGTTAGAAGAGATGGGCCACAATGGCCTAAACCCAAATGTTGTCACATATAGCACTCTTATAAGTGTGCTATGTAATAGAAATAAGGTGGAAGAAGCCTTGGCTTTGCACAAAGAAATGGAGAATAAAGGATGTCAACCAGATGTTGTCATGTATAACACACTCATCGATGGTCTTTGCAAGGGTGGGAGAACAAAGGATGCAATGTCTTTGTTGGAGGAGATCTGTCCCAATGGCTTGAACCCAAATAAAGTGCAAGAAGCCTTGGCTTTGCACAAAGAAATGGGGCAGATGGGTTGTCAACCAAATATCGTCACATATAGAACCTTAATAGGTGGTCTTCGCAAGGATGGGAGAACAAAAGAGACAATGGCATTGTTAGAAGAGATGCGCGCCACAATGGCCTAAACCCAGATGTTGTCACATATAGATGCACTATGCAAAGGAAATAAGGTAGAAGAAACCTTGGCTTTCCATAAAGAAATGGGGAAGATAGGATATCAACCAAATGTTGTCACATATAGCGTACTCATTGATGGCCTTTGAGGAGGCAATGTCTTTGTTAGAGGAGATGTATGATAATGGCTTGAACCCAAATGTTGTTACGTATGGCACTCTTATGAATCTGCTATGCAAAAGAAATAAGGTGGAAGAAGCAGTCACTTTGCACCAAAAAATGGGGAAGATAGGGTGTCAACCAAGTGTCGTCACGTATAATACTCTGATAGATGGTCTTTGCAAGGATGGGAGAATAAAAGAGGCAAGGGCATTGTTAGGGGAGGTGTACCACAATGGCCTAAACCCAAATGTTGTCACATATAGCACTCTTATGAATACATTATTTCAAAGAAATATGGTGGAAGAATCCTTGGCTTTGCACAAAGAAATGGGTAAGAGAGGATGTCAACCAGATGTTGTCACTTATAACACACTCATCAATGGTCTTTACGATGGTGGAAGAATTGAGGAAGCAGTGTCTTTAATGGGGGATATGTATCACAATGGCTTGAAGCCTGATGTTGTAACGTATGACACTCCTATAAATGTGCTATGCAAAAGAAACTAGGTGCAAGATGCCCTGGCTCTGGACATGTCAATTAGGAAGATAGGGTATCACCTGAGTCTGTCATGTATAATATCCTGATAGATGGTCTTTGCAAGGTGGGAGAACTGAGGAGGCAATTTCTTTGTTAGAAGAGATGTATCAGAATGGCTTAAACAGAAATGTCATTACATTTTCGGACTTGGTAAATGGCTTTGAAATACCAACATATGAGAAGATGCCTTGGCATTGCACAAAGAAATGGGGAAGATAGGTGTCTACCAGATGTCACATTTACTTCCATGAAATTATCTTTGTGAGGATGGGAGAATAGAAGAGACACTGGCAATAGATTTACCAGTGTACTCAACCTGAATGCACATATACCTCTCTTATAAGCATGCTATATAAAAACCAATGGTGTTGAAGAAGCCTTGAGATTATGCAAGAACTGAGAAAGTGAGGTTGTCGGCCTATTATTATCACGTATAACTCTCTCATGGATGATCTTTGCAAGGACAAATAGAGGAAGCGGTGTCTTTTTTGGAGAAGATGAACTCTAATGGTTTAAACCCAAATATTTCCACATATGGTTCTTTTTTTTTGGTGAAGCAGTGTGGATTTGGGCCCCTACCTGTTTTATTAGAAAAGAATAAATATCATACAATGGAGAACATTTTACAACACTATCAAGAGGGACACAAGCAACATTGTATGAAAGTAGGAGAGGCAAAAAATCTGTTTCCTCCATACTGTAACGATGTGTCTTGCGTGCCAACAAGACAAGATTGAGTGAGCAAAATCGGATTATTCGAGCCTCTACCCGTCCCAGATGGTCCAGCGTGTCCATGGGTAGCCTTTGAAAGGGTGATTTCCATGTATAGCTCTCTGATATATGTCCATGCAAATCCAAAAATGCGTAACAAGCCTTGATCTTTTTCAAGGAACTGCAAAAGAGATGGTGCTATCCTGTTATTATCATGTATAACACGCTCATAGATGGGTTCTGCAAGATGTGTAAGGTGGATGTAACAATGAGTGTCTACCATGACATGATCCATTTGGAGTTTGAGCCTGATTCCATTATTTATGGTATCTTGATCACGGGGCTGAGCAAAACTTGTGAGGCTGAGGCTGCTAAAAGACGTCTATATGAAATTCAAAAGGTTAGGTTGGTTCCCCTCAGGCTGCTTATATAAATTGCTGGATTCATTTCGTAAAAATGGTGATTCAAAGAATGCTATGAGTTTATTTCGAGCAATGTTTTACAACTTAGGCAAGTTGACTCGAACTTGACTGTGTTACTCTTGGCTGGTTGCCTGGATGTAGTAACCCCCAAATTTGGGGGTATGTAATAAAAAAGAAATTATATATTTGTATATTATAATTATTTTATAATTGATTTAGTCAAATTTAATCTTTGATTAAATCAGTTATAAATGACTTGTATTGGCTTTCTTTATACTTTTTTTGTACTTTTTTATTTTTTGGCTTATTTTTTCTACACTTTCTCATTTTTCTAGAAAATGGTCTTTAATCAGTTTTCTTTTTTACTTTTGAAAACTTGTTCTCGTCTTTTACGTACGTTTTCTATTGTTTATTTTTCCTTTTCTTTTTTTCTGATTTTAACAAATTTTAAGGTTTTTTAAATATTCTTTTTTTTTTTTTGTCTATTTTTTTCACGGCTCAGACTCGGATGAGTCAGCTTCAACTGACATTATTAACTCAGCCAGGTCAGAGGCTGAGTTCCCCGGCCAAGCCGAGTGAAAAAACATTTGTTTCAAGTGATGAATGAAGGTTCTTGCAAACCTAATGTGTTGACCTTCAATATCCTGATTGATCAGTCATGTAAGCGGTAACCATCAAGTAGCAAAGGAATTGCTTAAGGATATGATCCAAAGAGGTATCATTCCTAATATGACAACCTATTCTGTAGTAATAAATATGTTTTTCAAGACAGGGTTAATGGATGAAGCTTAGGGATTGCTCGAGGGCATGATTGCAAAGTGTTATTCACCAGATGCTATGATATATGCATCATTATTGAAGCACTCATTTGCAAATGGTGATAGGGGGGACTAGTCCTACCAATCCAACGAGAGATTACTACATGGAGAACTGCAGCACAGCGATAAAAAGTCCTTGGCCGAAGCCATCTAACTAAGGCGGCAGAGTTCATGGCATTGCTCCATCAAATAGCATGTAAGGGCGAGGTAATTGTATTGTTTTATTTGTGATGGTATGTTTACAAAGTGTAGAGAATCAATCACTTTCAAAATTTTCTTGTTTTTTATTCATGTTAACATTTTATTGAAGGAAACGAGAATTATAAAGGTACAAAACAGCCCAGGGGGCAAATAAAAGTCACAGAGCAATGTGACCACCTAAAACAAGAAAGAGAAACAGCCAAAAAAACTGTCACTGCAAAATCTAAAACAGAAAAAACAAAGGCACACGGGTCACACGAACTGAAAGATGCGGTTACTCCATAGAAGCTCCAAGTTTAGCTAGATAGTCGGTTATCTGGTTGGCCTCTCTCCAAGTATGAATCCAGGATACCTGTATATGCCTGCATCACAGATGTGCCATAGTCTCCAGGGGAGTTGGGCTAAGTTAGCTGCCCAATGAATGACATTCTTAGAATCCCCTACAATGATGAGGTAAGAGCCCTAGGAAGGGTTGAGCAGCCTCAGGCCTTCGAGCAGAGCATGGGCCTTGGCCAATAGAGGAAGAGTAGGAGAGGAGGGAGATGCCCTCGTGGTTTCCAAAAATGCCACTAATTCCTGCTGTGCCAGGATTTCCCAATGATGACCTGTCGAAGTTCAGTTTAATGCTCCCCCTGTCGGGGGGTCTCCAAAGATCTGACCGGGATGGCTTCCTGGGCCTGAAGGAGAGAACGTTGGCCCAGTTGAGATGAAAAGCGTGGGCAGGCAGGCATTTGAAGTGCATGTAGTTTGTGGCGCAGAAGATAACCAGACCCTTAATAGAGTCCTTGCGTGGGGGCCTTGGAGGATCCTGTTATTGTGCTCCTTCCAGATTGTCCAAATGGTTGCCCGAACAGTGGCTGGTCAGAGTAGAGCTCTGGATTTTGGCCAGGGGAGGAAGGTTGAAAGTTGGAAGAGGAAGGCTGAAAGTTGGAAAAGATTGGGGACAGATTCAGGGGTGACCCATTGCCAACCGAAACGGCAAAGGGTGTCACTCCAAATGTTTCCAACCAGAGGACAATGGATGAAGTGGTGATCGATATTCTCCACAGAAAGGTACATCACACATCTGTTGGGGATATTGAGGCCTCTTCTTTGCAGTTGGTCTACTGTGAGGATTCTTCCTCACAAAGCCAGCCAAGAAAAGAACTTGATTCTAGGGGGAATGAATGGGTTCCAGGAAAACTAATATCTCACTTTCAAAATTTTCTTTAGCCAGAGGAAAACTAATTTCTCATGCAATGATTTATTAAGTAAACTCCAGAAATTGCATCCCAAATAGGAGAAACTGTTCAAACATGGCTGACAGGTGCTATTTGTTAGCATGAATGAATTGCTATGGATTGTTTGTGGGTTACGAATTTGGCTGAAAGCTGCTTCTCTTCTCTTGGTCTATATATGAATTGTTATGATTTCAAATATAGTTTCTGTTGATATAATTAAGATTTATTTGCCCTCTGTCTCTATAAATGTGTGCATGAATGGGGTCCACAAGATGAAAACATGCAAAACCGTGGTGTATCAGCTTTTCAAAACTTCTTTGTTATTTGTAATTCAGCTTTTTAAAAGATTTTAAGTCAACCCAACAAGAAATTTTAGATAGGAGGTACAGTTGGAAACTCAGTAGCAAACTTTCAAAATTGGAAAGCCTTATCCTTTTCAAGAGATATTAGTTTGTAGGGGAGTCCTTTGAAATGTTTGTGGTTGGTCGCCAGAAACTAACCAGGGACCTAATCTTGTCAAACAGGGAAGCTGGCGAAGACCTTTCTCCACATAAAATCCTATTGTTTCTCTCAGTCCATATGACCGCTGCCACCAATGCCTCCCACAAAAGGATAACAGCTTTGGACCAGGGAAAAGGGGGGAGGGAGCTGAAGAGGGAACTTTCTTTCAAGATTGGCAACCCTTACTCTTTTCAAGACAAGTCCTCATTCCCCAGGCCTCCTTTTGGAGACCACCAAATCCAGGGTAGACCAAACTGAACTTTGACATTACTCCATGGGCAATTGTGGCCCCTCAAGAATTGGTGGCTTACTTAGAGACTTTGGAGGCCATAGACTCGCCTCTTCCTCCAAAAGCATTGTGACACTCGGACTTCCATTCAGTAGAAGCCGTTGCTCGCCTTGAGATCATCAGATTGTTTAGCCCCCAGTGAAGCCTTTTGTTAGTGGTAGATGGGGACTCTAAGAATGTTTCTGCGATGGGCCTCCAGCTTTTCTCCACGCCCTTGGTCACTTGCTCACATTTTTTATGTAATTGCACACATTTGTAGGGATATGGATGTTTCTGATGATGATGGATTAATTGAGAATGAATAATGAAACGACACCAAATTTCTGTATATAGAAAGAGAGCAATAAAATGCATACTTGTACCAAACAACATGTATAAACAATTCCCCTTCTCAAAGGCCACAATATGGAACAACAATTTATAGTAATACAATGTTAACATTCTCAAAAAAAAAGAAAAAAAAAAGAAAAAAAAAAAATATTTATATGGTGCTATTGGTTTAGAGAAAAATATTTTAATGATTAATACTTCTAACTAGACTTATTATTTTAAGCGATATTGTTGTTATGAAATATTAGTTTTTCCTAAGAATATATTCCTTGTGTTTTCTTCAATACAATTTTTTAAAGGAATTTGCTAGTAAAAATTTTCACGGAATTATTTGTTAAATTAAGATTCTTAATTTAATCACAATTTTGATATTCTTATCTCAAAAACTAAATTTTAAATATATCAAATTAATGACGAGAATGGAGGTTTCAATAAAATTACAGGGAAGAAGTTCCTTTTAGAAGTTTTTTAAGAAAATACTACGGATTCAAATTGGTTCCACTAGAGAAAAAAATGATTTTTTGAAGATACTTATGAAAATTTCGCAATTCGAGTGGATTTTTAAAAAATTAAGATCTTTTGAAAAAAAAGCGTGTTTCAATTGCAGACTTGCTAACTATATTTTAAGGATCTATGCTTCCTCTACCATGTAGAAGATATATACTTCCCCTCATCCAGTCGTCCAATTTAAGATCAAGTGAGCCACTAACCGTTGATCTAGATATGATGCCTCAAAGTATTTTCTTTTTAATTCTTGTTCTACAAATTGTTTGAATATGAAATTTAGTATGTGTCATATTCTCAATGGGATGAACCTAAAAAAAATATTGAAAATAATGTTTTGATAAATATAATGATCAAAATACCCTTTGAAAATTTTAGGAGTATTGTGGTCATTTTATTTTATTGAGAATATTTTATATATATATATATATATTTTTACAAGTGCGAGTTTAAAAAAGGAGTGGACACTCAAAATTTGGTATCAAAATATTTTGTAGAAAAAATTAAAAATAAAATAATGAAACGTGACATTGTGATTGCGCTCATCTCAGCCGTCCATTCAAAATGGACGGTTGGATAGGGGGAAAGTATACCAGTTTTATGCAGTAGGGGAAGCATTGAAAGCTTGTATTTGCCACATGGCTTCAAAGTGTGGGTCAACTCACCAAGTGCCAACCTGCACTCTGGATTTGTCACTAAGCTATAGAGTAAGGGTCAACACTCCAAATACCAAATCAACTCACGCTTAGATAAGGGTCGGCACATAGAGTGTTGATGTGTACTTTGGATTTACCACTAGAGGAAGAAAATTGCCTATATTCAATGTTGGGAAGCCTCAATAAAAGAACCCTTGAACAGAATGATAGAAGTACCCCCGCATGTTCAATGTTAGAAATACCGAAGAACTTGTTTAGAATATGAAACGAGGAACAGTAAGGGCATTTGCCTTGCCTATGTAAAATGAAATAAATACCTTTATTATTCTTCATTTCAAATTCCAAATAAAGTGTTTGTTATTTCTAGTACTAAACACGTAGGGGTACTTTTGTCAATTTGTTAAGGCCTCTTTGAGGTAAAATTACTAAGGTGCTTCGAATTATTCAAGCTTCTCAACACAAAACATGGGGAATTTGGGAACTTCTTAATTTTTTTAATATACCTAATTGAAATAAAAATTTTAAAGAATGCTCTCAAATGTAATTTGTGATTATTTGACACCTTTAGTATGTTGTAAGGGGTTTCAACCCGTAAATTCATATTTTCCCTTTGTTAAGATAATGTATAACATTCACATGGACCAAAAGAGTATGCTATAATATGCTCCCATTCAGCAAATACAAAAACCACCAAAAAGAAAGTAGGGAAAATTATAAAAATGTCTTTGAGAGAGAACTATTTAGCAATTTACCCATATTGTCTAATTCAATTTCAAAATACCAATCAATATACATATGGGGTGTGGTTTGTATTGTTGGGTTTATGTAGTCTTTAAAAGCCTTATGAATACTTGTATAATAATTTTATATAGTATAACATAAATTCAGTGGGAGTGTGGTCCTCTTGTGGACCATACTAGGCAAATACGATTTGTCGATACTCGGACTATGCTCGACGTGCTAGGCCAATCGAGTTTGGAAAAACTCAATATACCTGGGCATAGGGATCTACCAAGAAGGGTTTGGTGGTTTAGCCCTTGATGATATTAAAGTATGTCCAGATGATAGCCAAAGGACTGTGTGGCCCTTGCGTGTGGTGAATAGCTTTTAGAGACAGGGCTAAAACCTCATCGTTATTTCATCACACGACATGTACATAGATAGTTATTTTAAGATTTATCAATGAGGGTGAAGCGTGTATATGTGTGAGAGATTACCCCTATGCATCATAGAGTTACGGTTGCATCACGGTCTGGATGACCATGATTTTTTTGTCTCTAGGGGAGAACTTGAAATGGTCTACGCATGAGCCCATGTAGTAGACTGTGTGTCATAGGAACTGCTGGGTCAGTTTGAGAAAGCTATGCAGATCGTGATTCGCAGTTGAAGGTGGAGTGCTCCCATGTATTCATAATTCCTAGATCTAACGGATCTGACTCCCATCAAAATTAATTAGTTTTAATTAATTTTATGACATATGATTTTTAGAATGTTTACTTGAATTTTTGTGAATCTTATTATATTTTATTTTTGTCATTTGGATTTATAAATTAAGAGAAATTAAATTTTCAATGTTTTAAATAAAATATAATATTTTAAATTTCTAAATATGAAATAAAATATTTTTTAAAAATATATGGGACCTCCATAAAATATGAGGCCCAAAATTTAACAACATGTGAATTAAGTAGGGCCCACACGTGGCCACCAAAAGGGTGGCACGCCACTCATTCACGTATTCTTCGTAGGAAGAATGTTTATCCCTTATTATTCACGTATTCTTTGTAGGAAAAATGTTTATCCCTTATTTGTTGGCTTATCTTTTGATAATAGCCAACTTACATAATAACGTTGAATATTTAAAATATTTAGTAGATCTTTGAATCAAGATTGCTTGATCCAATAACTAAAGATGAGATATACTAAAATAGAAAATAAGATATATACTTTCTTTATTTAAAGATTTGATGGGAGTAGATCTGGAGGATGAAGCTCTAGCATCTCTTTGAATCTTGATAGTGGATCAAAGAGATGGGTGGATCAAAAAGATGGATGGCTCAAATCTCTTACCCCACCAGTCTCTTTAGATCGACGGTCAAGATGTAACCTTACGAATTGAAGCAAACCCCAAGACATAGAAAATCTATAAAAGAATGTCTCTCCTTCATAAAATTATATACATATTATCTCATCTCTGTTTAAGAATTCTCTCTCTCCCTACCCTAATTTAGTTCTCTCTGGGGGAGGCATGCCGCCCCAATTTTGAGGCACGCCCCAAGTTTTATCATCTATCTCTCCCAAGTTTTTCTAAGGGGCACGTATTCTCTCCTCTCTCTTTAAGAATTCTCTCCCAACCCACATTTAGTTCTCTATGGGGGAGACACACTCCAATTTTCAGGTAAGCCTCAAGTTTTATCATCTATCTCTCCCAAGTTTTTTCTAAGGGGCTCTAAGGGGGTACGCCTAAGTCATCTAGCTTGTGGTGGTTTGATTTTTGAGTAGCAAAAGGGAGGATCCATAGATCTCTCCATCTCTTTTTGTTCTATCTCACATCTCTCAAAAGATCAAGCCAAATGGGACTTGAGCAAGACCAATGCATTGAGGCCTTAGGTAGTTGGTTTTAGATCGAGATCCATATGCCATTGAGAGGGTTTTGCCATATGTAGAAGAATTAAGAGACCGATCATAGATCCCAAACACCATCAAAAGGAGGAGACTCGGTGTGGGGTGTTCTAAGCCTGGTTGAAGTAATCTCCGGCAATCTCTTTTTGTTTCTTGTTATATTTAATTATATTATCTTTATATTACCAAGTAAAAGAATTGTAGATATTTTCGTTGTTTAAAGAAACTTGGTTTAATGGCATCAAGGTTTTAAGATCTTGGATTTGTTAGTTTTATTTTCTTTGAAGCAAGAGTTATTTGTAATAAGACTACTTGTAAGTAATCTTTGCCAAAAGAAAAGAAAAAAAGTGAAAAGAAGAAAAATAAAAAAATATGTACTCTCCGGTAAGATCACATTAGTCTTTCTTTCATTGGTATCAGAGCTATTGATACTTGATGCCGTTAATTATTTTTTCTCTTTATTGAGTCTAGATCAAGTTTGAGAATGAGATATAAGAAAGTTAATGACTTTTGTGGTCACGTAGTACACCTACAGTTAAAAATTATTGAAACGTTCAAACACCGTAAAAGGCACTCTGTAGTATGAGTATTATGGGTTATTTTAGAGCATGATATGAAGACGATAATGACGTATTTTTCCATTACATACTTAGTGATATTGTGTATCTTTAAGAGTAGAATCTACCTGCAAAATTTCGGTGGGAGATCTTAAGGCAATTGAGAGTTATGGATTAATCAATGAAAGGTGTCAGTTCTGACCCTAAAAAATCCAGGAATTGTCCATTGAGTTCCATGATTTTTCCCACCAATCATATAATTTTATTTCTAATTAAAATTTGACTAAACTCATAAAATTGAGTTTACTTTCAAACAAAAATAGTCTCATCAAGAAATTCTTTGTGGTTTGAAAGATATGGTCTATTTATTGAAGAGTGCACAAGTGCTGTTTTTTATAATTATTTTAATGACTTGGAAGTCATGATTTTATTATCATTCTTAACAGAATGTTTTATGGCCCACACCTAATTTGTAGACTTCCATTCTGAGTCTATTTTCTAATAAAATTTATTTGAGAAATAAATATTTATGGGAAAAGAGGAATAAAATTTTTGGATTCAATAGGGGTCATCCTGATTTTTCCTACAATTTGGTATGTTCTTCATTAATACATGAATAACTATATTTATCAAGCCTACTTAACAGAGTGATATGAGGCTTGTGGAAACTTATGTGTTACCATTATGTGTCTACTTTCAAACAAAATTGGTTTGAAAGGGAAACTCCGTGAG